CGTAATACTCCGTAATAAATTGCGTAATACTCCGTAATAAATTGCGTAATATTACGTAATAAATTGCACAATATTATATCCTGACTGTAATTCTTGCGCAATATTACGGGCCGTAATATTTTACGTAAGATTACGTTTATATAATTTGCTGATGTATATAGTATATATAGTACATTTTTTATATATTTCTTTTTTTTATTTCAACTTTTTAATACTTTTCTTTTTTTTTTAGAAGAGTCTGTTATAATGATGTTGAACAAATTTCAGCCATTAGCAGAATGTACAATGTTCCAGACATTATCATATCTAATATCAGATTTACCAGAAAAGCTATTAGGTTGGCTAAAGAGCTTGGTGTGATTCTTGCTATGCCAAATACACTTTTGGGCAAACTTAGATTTTATATCTCAAAAATGATAGACAAAATAGATACAGAGAGTAATGGATGGGGTTAATATGAATATATAAAAAATAATCTTGTAGAATTGCAATTGTTATAAAACATGAGGTAAATAATAAAATATGTATATAAATCCTGTGTTAAGAGTATTATGAAAGCATCAAATAGTGCAAAATAAATAACAAAATATTTACAATATTCCCAATCTAGTGATATAAATCAAAAATTGATTAATTATTAGTTAACCCAATTATTAATCAATTAACCAAATAATCAATTAACTATTAATCAATAATTGATTTATTTATATTAAATTAAAAATTTATATTTATTATTATTATTATTAAATTAGGTTGACTAAACAACTAATTAGTTAATCAACTAACTAACTAATTGATTAATTGATTAGTTAGCAATTAGGGTAGCTAAGCAGTGTGTAATGCCACGCAGAACTAGTACAATCTCATGTGTGCCTTGTAGTCTAGAGTTATTATTTTGAATACTTTAATTATTATACTTTTTATTATTGTTGCTTGGTTTGATAACTTTATTAACAAGAAGAAAAATGGTTAGAAATTTTTCTACTGAACATAGACTCCAGATATAAATTAAGATATCTACTTTAAATATGGTGCTGGAAGCCTATACTCAACGGTTACACAAAGTGTTTCAATTTTTTAAATGGCTATAACTTTTCTT